GATCTTTTGGAAAAAATAAAATTAATATTCTTTAGCCAGTATCAGCCGTTTTTCATTGTACTCTTCATTGGTGTGGCAAGCATCTTCCCATTGTTCAATCGTAGCCTGATTCAATCGATTGCTATTACCATTCATTAGTTGTCGACTCGATGAATCATTACCATTGAGAGAAAATCCATGCTTGCCTCGTTTACAACCACCTGTATGTCCCATTGTGAATGTTTCATCACAACATATCCATTTAAATTATCATAAATAAAAAAGATTTTTTCATGATGAAAATATTCTCTAGTTTTTATTTGATTTCTATAAATACGACAAGTAGTCTATATTTTATTAACCTCTTTTCTTTTTTATATCATTAACTTTTTTGTCGTACTGTGTAGACTGAAAGGTGGATAATTATAAAAAATAGTCCCTCTAATGATTACAAGTATTAATTCCGATTATAATCGATACAATAGTTTTATATAACGGAATAAGACTCTTTTTATCTAGAATAAAGCTAAAACTCACATTGCATTCTACATTCTTCGGTTACATCTTGAACAAGATAATGTCAAACAAATACCATCTTTTTTTCTTATGAGATATTTTTAAAATTAAACATTGATATTCATCTCCACATTGTATGCATAAAAAAAACACCCACACTCACGCTCACATGGTAGGCCTTCATAAAAAACATAAGTAGATGTTTGTCTAACCATCACTAGCTTTGTCCACTGTACGAGCCAAGAGAATACGGAGGGTATTCGGGTCGCGTGTACGCGAAATTTTGCAACTGCTTCGCTTCGGCGAGCCAAGTTTTAAGAAGGCCAATTTATTTTCTCTTTTCAGAAGAACAAAAAAATTATATTTTCTTTTTTACATTTTCAATGTTTCTTTTCACCACAGCAATATGTGGATGATTGGAAGGCAGTGACTTTTCGAAGATATTGCGTGTTTTCTCAAAAAATGACAATGCTTTCGAGTACTCGCCCATGTTATAGCACACAGTGCCCATGTTGTTGTAGGAAGAAGCCAAGGAGGGATGATTCGAAGGGAGAGCTATTTCCTGGATTTCAAGTGCTCGTTCGTGCGATGAAAGTGCCTTCGAGTACTCGCCCATTTTATAATACGCTGCGCCGATGTTGGTGTATGAAGAAGCTACGTTGGGATGATTCGGAGGAAGAGCTTTTTTCTGGATTTCAAGTACTCGTTCGTGGGATAAAAGTGCTTTCGAATACTCGCCCATGTTGTAATACACATTACCGATGTTTCCGTAGGAATAAGCCAAGTCGGGATGATTCGGAGGAAGAACTATTTTCTTGATTTCAAGTGCTCGTTCGTGCGATGAAAGTGCTTTTGAGTACTCACCCATGTTATAATACACATTACCAATGTTGTTGTAGGATTCAGCGAAGTCGGGATGATTCGGAGGGAGAGCTATTTTTCGAATTTCAAGTGCTTGTTCGTATGATGAAAGTGCTTTTGAGTTCTCGCCCATGTTATAATACACATTACCGATGTTATTGTAGGACATAGCCAATGAGGGATGATTCGGAGGGAGAGCTATTTTTCGGATTTCAAGTGCTCGTTCGTGCGATGAAAGTGCTTTCGAATACTCGCCCGTATTATAATACACTGCACCGATGTTGTTGTAGGAAGAAGCCAAGTTGAAATGATTCGGAGGAAGACGTTTCTCGTCGATAGCCAATGATTTTTCGTAATATGAAATTGCTTTTGAATACTCACCCATTTCATCATATATCCAACCAAGTTGATAATTATATTCAGCTCGATCTTCATCAGAAGACGTCTTTTCTAGTAGTATTCTATAGAGTTGTTCTGCTTTTGCAGACTCGCCTACTTTTATAAGTATAAGACCCAATCGAGACCATCCTGTCCTTTCGCCAAGTTTCTTACGTAAGTGTGCTGTAAGTGTGTTCAACTCGTGACTGTCATTACCCACAACAGTGAGAGTAACTTTCCATAAACGATCAGTATACTCATCTTCAATTCGTTCGATGTCATCAATACGAAAAATTGTATGTGTTGTAAAAAGTATTTCTTCTTCTTGGTCTTCGTAGTAGCCAACTTTGCTTAGTTCAGCAAATGGTGTTGATGATTTCTCGCAAATAGCCATGTCAATGTGCATAATGAAGAGAATGCCAACTAAGTTTGGATTAAATGCTGCTGGTCGTGCAAAACTTTCCAGAGAAATTTCACGATCACGACTTGTTGAGAGGAAGTTATTAAAGGACATAAGTCCTCCTTTGGTTTTTTTCATTTTTTCAAAGTCTTCCATGGACAAACTTTGTCCACGAAAGACTTGAAATTTTGCTGGTATTTTGTCTTGTTGTTCACGGTGTAATTCTGTAATATGTTGATGTAAATGACGGATGAAAAAGCCCATTTTAAGAATAATGTCGACATCCATTAATCGAAGACCACGATTGAGCATTGAGTAAATAAAAAATGGACCCGTGTACCACCAAATGGATAAATGATTATGATATTCTTCTTCAATCTTTTTAAGTGTTTTTTCAGAAGCATCACTTTGAAGACGACAGTATTCAACGAGTTCTTTCATCGATTTTGCATCATCATCTTCTATCTCCAAAAGTGCTTCTTTTAACAATTGTGTATACATAAATAACGGATCAATACGATTAAAACTGATTGAGATCATATCTTGATCACAGTTTCTACTATCGATTTGTAATGCGTCACAAATCTGTTCAATTTGTCTATATACACCTTTTACTTTAGCCATTTTTTTGGTCCATTGTTCATGAATTGATTGATTTTCACAGAAAACATAAATTGAGACTAATTGTGAGCATTCTTGAATTCTCGGTATTAGATGTTGTCCTAGGGCACCAGAAACAATCATGAATACTTTTTCATTTTCGATATCACTTAGAAAATCAATACATTCATCAATGTCGGTAAATGTGGTGACTATTGTTACAATATTTCCTAAATGTTGTATTGAGTTTTTATAATCGTCTTTTGATTCATCGATATTGGCATCAAGCCAAACAAGACGAAAATTTTGTATAATTCGACGAGCAGATTGAGGAAGTACTGCAGTTCTACCTGTTGTTAATGATGATTTGTTGGATTTACTTATTGTGGACGGAGAAGATGATCCACTAGCAGTTGATTTTAAATGTTGACTTTTGTCCATTTGGATGATTTTAATGATAATAATGAGGTTGTGTTTATTCGTAAATGATTTCTCCGAGTAGGTTTTTTTCTTCTTTTTTCGTATTGACACTTTGTATTTTTTTGCTTTATTACTTTTGTTGCTATAGAAGACGTGCAGGACTTCTTATCTAAATCTTTGACTCGTTCGTTATCGTTTATTTCAAGAGTTTTATTGCTAATCAAACGACAGTGACAAAATATATGAGAAAGAAATTCTCTACACATCAGGCATGAGGGTGTGGGTGTGGGTGGGTGCGGGTGTGGGTGCGGGTGTGGGTGCGGGTGTGTGGGTGTGGGTGGGTGTGAGTGTGTAGGTGTGGGTGTGGGTGGATGTGGGTGTGAGTGTGTAGGTGTGGGTGTTGTTATTCCCTTTTGTCATACCCACACCCACACCCACGCCCACACGCACTCCCACACCCCAGCCACCCAGACCCAGACCCACACCCACCCACCCACACCCACCCCCATAATAAGCTTGATTTTCATAGAAATTATCTCCTTGACAATAATGAGTAAGGTAATGATTAAGGTCAAAACAATTCGATTGTCGATCGAGAGTACATAAACATAGGTGAATCTCATCATAGAAACAGATCAAGTCGAGTTTTGCTTGACATGGCAGATGATAGTATTTAACTTTCTGGCTTCCGACTTTTTTTTTGAGAAAATACCAATTTTTGTAGGGAATGTTTGAACATGTTTTTTATTTATAACATTTTTATCATAAGCTTTTCAGATTAAGGTCTGTCGAATACCAAAGACAAATCAAAATTCAAAATTTTTGCCGAGTTAAGATGGAATGGTAGTCTCGCCGATCCTCTTGTGAAGATCTAATTACTTTGCCATAGCAACAAACATTCTGCTGATTGGCAGGTTCATTCTCCTTTTGATCAAGATAGCAATATTCATTTTTATACGATATAAATGCACTAGAATATTTGATTGGAATGACTACTGATCAACGAAAAGAAAACATTAAAGTTTGTTTTTCTCGTCGCTAAACTTAACTTTATTTGGAAAACTACACTTTTCAAAAATTGCATCAAAGGGTCCCAAAGGAGACAAAGACATTCTACTGTATATTTTGACATCTACGCTTTTGCCTAAATAGCGAAGTTTTGTATTGAAAATTTAGAAAAAATATGGTAGGCAAATGATCTGCCTGGTCTGTATCTGTCTCAAGCAAGCAGGCATAATTGCCCGTTTGAACCTCTGATGAGCATATAAAACTTTTATAAGAAGATTTATCGAAATATCAAACTTATCCGGTAATC